GCTTAAAACAGCTTCTGTATTGTTTACAAGTTATATCAGCTGAAACCAAAAAATATTTTTATGTAATCTTTCTAATTATTTCATCACTTCCGGTATACTGAAAACGGAAGGAGGATAGTTCGCATTTTGCCCTTTAACTTTTCTAATGCGATTCATTGATAAAGATTTGAAACGCTTAATCCATTCTGACATAGTATAAACGTCTTCCTCTTCATATTCATCCTCTAGCATACACCCAGACAGAATTCATGATAGAAATGAAGTTCTGTCGCCATTTGAAAGATGTGGGTTCCTTCCCTTAAATCAAGACCTTTGAAATAATAGATCTTAGGTCGTCATTTTTCATTATACTTTCATAACCACAATCACATAAACTAATATGTATTCTTGTGCTGAAGAATCCAAATATGACCTTGCTTTAGCTTCTTCGAATAATCCATATAAATGTTTCAAGGGCACAGAGTAAAGTTAAGTGCAAATCTAATGTAAACCTAATTGTTTATTGACGAAAGATAATAGCGAATCAAATATAACATCGTATATATTTGGCTTATTGTATGAAAGATAATTCAGTGCACACTCTGACAAGAAAAGTATATTTGATAGCAATGTAAGATACATGCACCGCGGTGTAATAGTTAAGAGTAATTTTAAGAAAAGAAATGGAAATATGAAAAAAGAATAATAGGACTGTACATTCTTGTGATATGGATTTTCAATTACTTAATGTGGAGGACTGTACACCAATATCAAAAAAAATATTTGGTTGTGTGTATATGTCGCTTTGATTAATTTCTCTTTTATATTTTATCATTACTGTTCTGATATATTCACAATACCTCAGAACTGTCAATGCAATTGGTGTGATGTTTTGAAGCTTACACAAGACCATAACCTTGGTTTATTAGTGATTTTTTTTCTCAAATTATCAAGTGTGCAAAATAGGTCACTACAAATCTAAAATATGATACTCACAATTTGAGGATTTGTGTGTGAAGCATCTCTTTAAACATCTTTTGCATCATTTTCTACTGCGTTGTCCTTCCAGGCAGTGGGATTCAGCCAAGAGTGTCGTCATAAGTGTAAGAAGCTCATATTATTACTGTAGATCACTTAATTTAATATGTGACACCTTATTTCGCGATATTGTTACATGTATTTGGTATTTATAAGCGAGATAAAATTTTCAAGAATAACGGACATTGTTTTATATCATCTTTAATACATGTAATAGCAATATATGCGATAGTGAAATTTTCGCATGCTGACAATTTTGCATAATAAAAGATTAAGTTCTCGCAAATAAAAAGTGATTTATAGTATTTAAATTAATTGGATTCACTCCTAAGCATAATGGCATCATGTATTACTTCGTGTGAAGATCAATTTTTACAACTTATTCTCGATGGCGGAAAAAAGGGATGCTAGTATTTGCAAAACAAAAACCAGAACCACAAGAAAGAACTAATGTCGACCGACATTCTGATAAAATTCAAGGAGAATTACTATAAGGTGCTGGATAACGTATTTTTCGTGTGCCTTGTGGATTATCTAGTTCTACATTGTAGTGAATCATCAAATGTTTGCTTCTATGATAGCAAATGCAGATGCTTATCAAGGAACAAAAATTGCAAAAACTAAACAAAAATGTGTACAGAAGAGGGAACTTGATCATCAACCAGCAAATGTCCCCGATATCTTGTACAGACAAAAAAAAATACATTTCTTTTCAGCAATAAATATTCAAAATCTGCGTTGGTTTATCAGTCTAGTTATTTATAAAACCCATTACCTTACACTTAGCAAGAAAAATTTTGTTATCCGCACTAAGCTATGTTTATTGTATTCTTTGCATATTTCTGGAGCGGAAGAGTTTCTCCTTCTTCCAACAGTAATGGTTTTGGTAGACTTCTTAAAGTTCATGGCCATTGGTCTAATGATACATGTATCGCAAAGGATGGGTATATTGAATATACAGTGTGGTACTCTTAGAAACTTTTTGAACTAAGAATCTGGATTCATTGACACAACTCCCAACCTTTCAATCTCAAAAACAAGAAATAAACGCCATGTGTAAATATATAATGTATATATAATAGTGTGTAGTGAAATTCACTTTTACAAGGATACCACTTCCGCCCTAGCCCGGGGTTGAACTCTCAATTCCCTACGGAATGTGTCTCCTAGCAGTTCAGGAACAGCTCGGCCATCTAGGCAAGTCTAAAATCTTGCTTTCGATGCCGATGGAATTCTCGCGGCGCTGTCCTACACTACACCGTCATTGAGAATTGAAGTGATATACAGTTATTTGGACATTAGTTTTATTAGAGGATCGTTACCGATACGCATTGTAATGAATTAATTTAATTTATTAAGCAAATTTTACAAAAACTCTTAAACTAACATATCTGCCCTAAGTGAAGAAATATTGATATAGAAAGCACAAAAAATTAAACTTTCACAAGGATACCCACTTCCGCCCCAGCCCGGGTTTGAAATTTCGACCTACGGAATCTGTCTCCTAGCAGTACAGGAACAGCGCGCTAGACCGCTCGGCCACCTATGTAAGTCTAGAAACTTGCTTTCGATGCCGATGGAATTCTTGCGGCGCTGTCCTACACTACACGGTCATCGAGAATGGGAGTGAGATACAGTTATTTAGTTTCATTAGAGGATCGTTACCGATACACATTGTAATGAACTAATTTGATTTGATTATATATATATATAATAAGAAGAAATTATTTATATTCACTAGTTAAGATAGGGAGTATTGGCACAAGCAACTTTCAAAAGAAGAGGAATTCAGCTGGCTTTACAACTTGAATAAAAACTCTTACAAAATTATTCGATGGTTATGATTCAAAAAGTAGTGACGTGCATCATCAATTTTGAGAATCAGAGCATCATTTTAAATTTTCAACTATGATGGCAAGCACCTAGAGATTTTATTTTGTCTTTCATGTCAAAGAAAAACAACACTGGTTTAAACTGGATAAATTTTAAATTCTGAGCTTAAGCCTAAATGGTTATTGTGATTCTTAGATGACACCTTTTAAATCCGATATTAAAGGTCGTGGCTATAAAGATGTCTAGATCAATATTCATATATAGGCCGTGCTTCCAATAGTTACTCTGCCGCGACTGACTTAAGTCGATAAAAAATAGGTAGCAACTCCCGTGTGTAGAAGTTCCAAGTTGCTTTTGCAATTTCCATGTTAATCACTTGGAATTCTTCATTTGGAATTTCCAAATCACCATTCGGAGTATTGGAACAAATTTCCAGATGGTTCCAAATGACTTCCAAGTTACTTCCAAGTTGTTTCCGAATGACAAAAACTCAGATTTTTCTAGAAATTTCCAAATGACTTCCAAGTTACTTCCAAATGACTTCCGAATGACTATTACAAATGTGATTCAACAAATAAAAACAAGATTTCATTGGCATATATTTAACCATGTTGTTAAGATAACAAACAACCAGCGATTTGATAATATATATCATACAAAACACTATTCTTTTGGCATCATTTAATGTTTAATATTCATTGCATTTGAAAAAGACAAACCTTCTTGGTTAAAGATTATCCTGTAAAACTGTTTTTAATTAAAATATTCACCGATAATTTTGCAAAATTCAAATCCAAGTCACAAACGCTGAAGAATAGGTATTTAGGTATTTCCTGGCTTCATGTATTTACGGAAGTAATAAAAGTCGAACACGTTGTATTATCATCAGAACATGCACTGACATGACGAGTAATTCCAAAAAAAGACACTTTTCACAGTTTCAGCAATTTTTCTCCGAGGTACTAATTTTCTGATTTATTTTCTCTACACAAGCCCCTGTGGTCTAACTTTTTTCAAAGACAAGTTGCGACATAAAATGAAGATTTAGACACCACCGAGTCATGAACTCAGAAAATGTTAATTATCTCCATTGCACTACATTTACTTGATAGAAGATCAATCCTCTTTTAATGCGATCTTGATGCAACACTGTTTAGGTTTGAACCGCCTGATTTCAAAATCCACGAGGTCGAGCCCGAGACAAGACCTCGAACCCGATCACCTGATAACATAACAATCTGCTCATTAAACACATATAGACTAAGTTTCATCTCTGCACTTCCAAATGGTTCCAAATAGATTCCAAATTAAGTTCAGATTCTTCCAAATAAAATTCTTCCGAATGACTTTGAAGTACTTGGAATTCCAAATGCTTCCAAATACTTCCAAGTAATTCCAAGTGACTGCCGAATGAGAATCGACGGGGAGTTGGAACTTCTACACACGGGCTGTTCCATCGCCATGCGCTCGGAGCTTTGGAGTGAAAGTTGCGGGTCCTTGGGATGAGACCTTAAAACCGAGGCCCCGTGTCACAGCAAACGTTGGCACGATAAAGATCCCTCACTGCGCAATGGCCCTGAGTGCCGAGTAAAGGTCTTTATATGAAGCCATTCACCATGCAGTATATGGTGACGTCTATATATGAGTGAAAAATTCTCGACGGGACGTAAAAAACATACAATCAATCAATCTAATAGTTACTTTATAACAGCTTTAGCAATTATATTTTTAAGTTAGTTTATAATGATATATACTAACCTATTTCAATATTAAAGAAATCTATTATACAACACATTTTACGTGTATGTCACATCATTTTTAGATTTCTGTAAGAAACACATGCCTATGGTCCTCCTTTTGTAGTCCTTTGATTAGAACTGCAGCTTGCTGTATACACGAAAATATTTTTGCACACCTTTGTTTAATTGCGAGAGAAACATTTACATTATTTCAAGTTCGACTTAGAGAGAGAGAGAGAGAGAGAGAGAGAGAGAGAGAGATTCCATTTCAATCGAACTAGTAATTTTTTTTTTCAAAAATCATCCACTAAATCTTCTGCTGAGAAAAATTGAAGGAAATTGAGTTATGAAAGTGCTTTCTCTATTGTAATCATTTAAAATATTTTTAAATAAAACTTTAATACATTGTATTTAGCCAAAGAAATGTACTTTGTAATCACATGGACTTAAATCTCCAAGAAAGAATCGGCTTGATGAATTTCCAGTAGGGCCTGAATGATATGCTCTTTGACCAATAGGCATGATTCCCACCGAAGAAAATGTAGAGCAAGATTTTGCATTTTCACTGAACCAACTGTAGATAGTGTCAGCATTTTCCGAATTCTTGTAACTTCCACAACGTCTTATTCTTCGACATGGTCTGCTCCCTACTAGGTAATCATTACAAGATCTACGGCCCATACAATTGCCATAAGGATACGAACAAGGATGTTCAGGTGCACATGGAAAGAAGTTCGCTGTGTTTTGACACGTTTTCTGTAATGACTTGTATAGGAGTTGAGCAACGGTAACATTTAAATATGGTTCCCCTTTCTGGACGCTATCAATTACGATATCCTTACCATGAGCAGTTTTCATTATTCCTTTACAGACATGGGAGTGTGAATAAACACCGCGCATATGAGTGTGAACTATGACAAGCCAGTCTCTCCAGAAATACTTTGATGAAAGTTTGTCGTACAAACGTTGACTAAACTTTTCATAGTCAAGATAAAAATTGTCAAATGTAAATGTATCGATGTCTTTTAATGACTGGGTATAATATATGTTTTCCAATTCTAAATCAACTGTTTGCATTTTGTTTTGAACCCGTTTAATTCGGTTATTCCATTCGTGAATATAGAAAAGAATAATATTGTCGTACCCCTTTAGAGTCAAGTATCCTATTTCTAGTTTTGCAGAAACGATAAGCAATTTTAATATACCCAGCATAAAGGTCCTCATCTTCGCTCTGTCATTATCTGTGTAATTCATCGCTGGTCTAATCAAACCTTCACTAATTGCGCCATTGTCGAACATAAATGCTGCAAACAGTTTGGAGCCACTGTCAAAATAATCTGTCTCATAGCTTTGGATAAATATGTTCTTTTGTTCGTTATATCCTGACTCTGGTACTTGAAATAATCGAGTAAAGTGTTCCGAAACAACATGGATCTTGGCCTCCAAATCTGAGTAAACGGTTTGAGTAGTTGACCAACGAATCAATCTGGTGACATCCAAAAAGTGAACATCTATTTGGTCGAATCTTCTGTTAATGGTGTCGGATAGGTTCCGGAGAAATTTTAGTTCAGGAGATTCGGTTGGCCTTGAAGATAGGCCAAAAATAAGTTTTATAACAGAGGGAAAAATACGTATAAAAGGTGCTACTTTCTTTACCACATTATTTACAGCATTAGTAAAAGCTCCTTTGGTTATATCATCCGAGACAGTTTTAATTCCGAGTAGGGCACTGTTTTCCTGGGTCTTGACATTTGAACACGCCACAACAATAAAGATGATGCCAAGAAAAAACAACTTAGGTGGAGCCTGCATTTTCTTGAAATCTATAAAAATAAATATAATTTTCTGAAATTTCAAATACTGAATGTTTTGCGAATAATCAATGTATGAGTGCAATAATTTGTCTCTTCATTTTTTTTTTATGTATATACTGCGGTAAACACTACTGTATTTTTTTTTTCTGAAAGTAAATTAAACACAATTAATAGATAATGGATTGAAGAATGACTGATTTCTAGAATTTTAAGTTATATTTTTATCTAACGATATAAAAAAAAGTCTCAAAATAGGAATTTCCATTGAATTTCGGCCAATGAAAGGCCAGGATTTAACCATTTCTAACAAATTTTAATATCTACGACTCATGGGTAAATGTCAATGTACTAATTTAGGTATTGCACTCCTGACTTTGGTTATATCATTGATTTTTTGAAAAGTATATTTTATATCTCTACTCGTATAGAATTGCTCAAAATCAGAAAGAAAGTTGGGGGGTAAGTGTACATATTACTGAGCACCTGTGTGATAAACGTGACCTTTTTGCATATAAATTATGACTTTGCTATTAATTACTTTAAACTGAATAAAATTTTATCATGTGTTTTCATGGCAATAAATAAAATCTTATTTTATGTAAAACAGTTTCAAGGAAATATGCGCTTGATAAAATTGTGCCAATTAATATTCATTAATTTTTCTGTGAAGTTTTTGCACTAATAAAATATATTATTTGGGAATTTTAAAAAACTCTAAATATAATATTTTCTTATATCAACCTTTTCTTGAATTTATAGTGCTGATCGGTTAAAAGTATCGTGTAATTTCAAAAAAAAGAAATAAATAAGTTTTTGCCAGTGATGTAAATTTTGAGATGTGGGTTAAAAAATAGAAATTTCGGGCTAATATCAGGGTTTATTTTATATTTACTTTTTCAATATTTCTACAATTTTTGGAATAGTATCCTACAAAATGTGTAGAATTTATTCTAAAAATATAATTTGAAACCTACATTATATATTCCTGGAATATAAAAACGTGAAAAATTCTGCGAGTAAAACTATGTAGGTTCAATGTTCCAACACATTAAATAAAACAAATCTGCAGAGCTGGTTTTGATAAATTTCTTCTTAATATCCTTCCTCTACAAGAAATAGTCCCTAATAAATTATATTTCTGGGTAATTTTTAGAGCTGTTTTTAAACTGAATTTTGTACAAAATTCATTGTTAAAATTCATAGAGCATATATCGATAAGATTGCTCAGCGGCACACTTATTTTCATAAAAAAATCAATTTACTTTTTAATAACTTGTTTCGAATTCACGATAAATATAATGTACACTAACTTTATATATAGCATTATATTTCAAAAATAAATATGAAAAGGATTCACACCGTAGTTGGTCGGTACAAAGATGTACCTTTAACGAGTTAACATTAGGTTCATGGGGAAATATAAGAGGGTGGCATTCAATAATCGATTATTAGAACATGGAGTGCAATAGAGACACTCACCAAATTTTGCACAGTGACTAGATATACACTGTGCACAAATATTTAAAATTATAATGAGTGTTGTGTGTGTAATTCATATCCAAATATTAAAAATTGCAGATAATTTGCATTTTTAAAATTAGAAGCACCTGGTCACTTGAACTGACTCATTGAGAAAATAGTACGCCAAAGAAAGCATACTTTTTTAAGTACGTAAAACTATATGCCCTATGCCCTATTGATCAGAGCTGCCTGTATGTAACGATGCAAAATGTAATGACAAAATTTTAAAGGATTATTATATTGCATTATTACACCTTGTGTCGAGATTAAGCAGAATGCAATAACGCAAAATGTAATAACATAGTTTTGGTCAATAAAGTTGAGATTAATTTACAATTGAGTAGAAGATATATAAAACGTGTCAACAGATCTACGAGATCAGTCATTTCTACCTGCAAATTAACACAAATAATTACATAATTGCTTTATTATACTGTTTCCTGATTAAATGAATATATAATACAATGCAAGTTCAATTTCAAGGGGTCAGATATTTTATTCCGATTTCCAGACTTTCAGACAACGACAAGTTTATTATGTTATCTTTCTGTATCATTAAACGATATGAAATCAGATGGAGTAAACTGCCAAAATCATGCACTCGTCCATGCACAAGGGTTGTTCCAAAGGTAATGCCGTAACTGCTATAAATATTTAATAATCGAAAGTTTTCAACAAAATTTTATTTACTAATACCTCTTTCTATTCTAGTTTTTGACCCTAAATTCCTTTCAAAAACATGCAATATTTTATAGAATACTAAAATAAACACAACATTGTTTTTTGATTGACACAATGGAAAACAATGATTACATTTTATGTTATTACATTTTGCTTTACTACATTTTCCGTTGCCCTCAGCGCAAAAAAATGAAATAAGGCAATCAAAACGTGCATTATTACAAAATGTGAGAACCCAAAAGGTAATAACTAAAAATTGTGTTTTACAATTTACGTTAAAACATTTTGTGTTAATCTTGCAATCGACGCAAAATGTTATAACGCAAATTGTAATAATCCTCAAAATTTGTTATATTTTTTTAATTATTACATTCTGTGTTGATCTAGACGCAAAATGTTACAACGTAATATATATTACTCCCAGTTTATTACATTTTGCGTTGTTAATACACTTTTCGTTGTAACACGAGCTATGTAATCTTTGGATACCTAATGAGTATGTTTCTTTTATGCTTTTATTCACCATTTGGTGATACTTAAAGTTTTTGCATATTATGACAAAATATGTTTGGCTGTAATTGATAGAATTGATATCAAATCCATTGCAGCATGAAGTTAAAAAAAAACATTTATTTATTCATATTTAATAAAGAATATTTTTAAGTTTCGTATGAGTTATTGGTGTGTAAATCACACAGACTTGCACGGAGGCATATTATTCAGGAAGCTCTAGCGCACTTCATGAATATGCCTACGTTACAGGTCTGTGTGATTTACACACCAATAATTCACAAAAACCTAAAAAACATTCCTTGTATGTACTTTCTATGTGTTAAAAAGCACTAGAAATATACTTAATATTTGAATTTCTCGCTGTCCTACATCGTTATATTTTTTTAAGTAAACGTCTCTATGACCTCATTGTGACGTCACTTTAACGCGAGTTTCTCCTTGTGTATTTCTACGCGTGAGTATATATGTAAATGACACTCAAATCAATTTCATGGTCGGGTAAGTAGAAAAACACACCAAATGTAAATTCTTTGCATTTGTTTTTATCTTACCGTTTTTTCTTCATTTCGAATATATCTTTTTTAATTCATATTGATGACTATATTATGGTATATTCTTTTAATAGTACCATAACTGCAATTGATAAAAATACATTGTTTAAACCTTTATATGACCGTTTTGACTTTTACCTATCGTCTGTCTTTCTTTTCATTTGTAATTTTCTTATGGAGAAGTGCTATATATTTTAAATAAATTTTATTTACATTCAAACTTCGTTATCCCAAACTCAGTGGGACCGAGAAAACGAGATATCCGGGGATTCCAGATATCCAGGGTAAAATAGTTAAAGAATAAGGAGTTGAGACTTCCAAGTCACTTCGACATATTCATAGTATTCGAGATATTTGTTTTCGAGATATATAAACTGTAGATTAATTCTGATTTTTAAACTCTCTGTATATATTAACGTTTTATAAATCAAATAGAACTCCTTTAAAACTCCTCCAAAAAGTATTCAAATAATTTTTTTTAATATATATTTATTGTGAAAAAATATTGATTTTGTCTTTATTCAAATATATTCTATTTCATTAATAATTTTGACGATGAAAAACTTCATTATCAGGTTTTAAAATGTCTACTCCAAAATATGAAGAAGGTTGCTTACATAAATTTGCAATTATCACATGACCGGAAATTGCACATTATTAATTATTTTCATATTTTTTGAAAGATAAGAAGTGTATTTACAACATATTAAAATTTCATAGTATTTCTTGAGCCTTGTCTAAACTCCTCCTTTAATTTGTTATAATTATTGAATTGTAATTGATAATTATAATTTCAAAGGTAACTAAAAAACTTTTCTCAAAAGCTGATGAATGACATCCTCAAAGCTCTTTAGATTGGTTTTAGAATTTATCCTTTTATGAATACTTACCTTGTCAGTTCACAGTTCAATATACTGTCATAAATTAAAAGTTAGTTATATATCTTTTTTCTTATCAACCAAGGTTTATTCCGTACAATATTGTCCACAATTAAAGGAACATATTGTAGTTCACACGGAAATGTGAACCCGGAAGTGTGAGCGTTCTGTTTTCATAGAGTCTAATTAAATGTGTGTTGTTTAAGAAATAAAGTCCGCGTTATCGTGAATGTTGCAGGATAACCTCCGAGGTCGAGAAATGTTGTCTGAAATATAAAAGCCGAGGCTTTTATATTTCAGACAACATTTCGAGACCGAGGAGGTTATCCTGCATCATTCACGACAACAAGGACTTTATTTCTATTCTACTAACAGCTCTAAAATTTGGCTGATCGTTTTCTCTATAGAGAAACGAATTAGGTCACCATGTCGCGATTTTGCTGTTCCATTTAACACCAGAGTCAATTTGTTTGTTTACTTGTGTATCGATTGCATAAAATGCAGACGGTTTCAGCTTTCGTTGGATTAAAAATATCCTTTAATTATTTATAAATTTGTTTGTAACATGTATTGATTAATTTTTTTATGAATGTAAAATAACAAAATCAGTTGTCTATTTCATTGCTTTATCAGTAAAATCACGGAGTGTAAATGTTGTGGGGAGTCCGTGGAACAACCCGACCTGGCTATAAAAAGGATATTTATCAGCTGTTTCAGGCAATACACACTATTTAGACTGCGTAAGACGACACATCGATATGGTCTAAATAAGTATTAGAATCTACATTGAAATATTTATTTCAACTGTACAGGTTTGACATGTGTTTCTGATCTGATAATTTTTTGATGACGTT